ACAGCATATCGTAGCATAGCGTAGCATATCATAACATCGCATATCATTGCGTAGCGCAGCATATCCTATCATATCATAGCATATCATAGCATATCATAGCACATGGCAGCATTTCATAGCATAGCAGAGCATATCGCATCATCGCATCGCATAACATAACATAGCGCAGCATATCACATCATATCAGCTCTTATCGCAGCATATCATATCATATCACAGCAAGCGCAGCATATCATATCATATCGTAGCCTAGCATAGCATAGCACAGCGCGGCATATGTATATGTAAATGTAGGTGTAGAAGTAGGTGTATATGTCGATGTATATGTGAGTTTTGGTGTTGATGTTGATGTAGATGTAGATGCAGGTGTAGATGTTAATGTAACTGTCGGTGTAGATGTAGATTTTGCTTTCCTAGATGCTCCAACTCTTAGGTAGGGTCGCAGTTGGATAATTGTCCGAGATCTTCGTGTCATTCGCTATGTTTTTTGTGCCTATCTGAGGTAATCACCTCACCAGGTTTAGCTATGTTTTTTTTTCGGGGTGGTGATGATTTCGGTGTTAACATTGCCATTTGGCAGTCGAGCCCGCGGAGTGATGTCGCCACTTGTGGTGTTTGTGTGCAGTGTGCTGCTTGCGCTGATTTTCATTTTTCACGGGTTGTGAGATATACGCTGTACATCTTAGCGTGCATGCGTGTGAAGATGGGTGGTGTAGGTCGTGCAGTGCACGACTCCCCCACGTCCGTAATTATTGCGGCCCAATCTTTTCCAGCGCCTTTGAGTCAGACCGAGCGCGAGGCGAAAACATCCCCGATGTTAGTATCCTTCGTCTTTCTGGTCATTGGTATCAAGGTCTTCGAGATTTTCGATAAAGTCGTAGGAGGAGGAGGAGGAGGAGGAGCTTCCAGGACCTCTGCCATCACGCACTGATGCCCAGGTTTCAAGCTCAGCGCTTCGAACACAGGCCGCGACGTATCCTATCTAGTTGCTCGCGCATTCGACTCGTGAAGCTTGCGTGGTTCCCCCAGTCCCTTGAGCTGGGCGTGACCGACGAAATCACGTGTGTTGCAAAACCAGAGTTTGAGGCGTTGATGGTGGTTCAGGGCGTGCGAGCGGTGGGTCCAACCACCAGCCAAGTGTAAACGTCGCCCTTTGGGAACTCGTGAAACTTGGCCATCTATGAGCAGGATTTGGCACCGCTCACGTAACCGTCCTGATCACGATGGTTTGGTCGCAAAGCCTTTTGCACACGCTGCGCGCCCTACCACTTTCAAGCCGGGAGTGTGCGGACGCGCAAGGTGCAACAGCTAGAGGAGCCCGAGGAGGTGGGAGAGATGTTTTAGATCTGCCAGCTCGTAGCTCATTCTCCTCAGACTTGTGAGAGGCCTTAAACCAAACAACCCGGCACGTAGAAACCTCTTCAGACGAATGCGTGCCTTGTGTTCGATGGCGAGAGCCTGGTGGCGGTTGGCTTGGGAGACGCGCGCGCGGCGCCATCGCCAGCAAGGGCGTCGACGCAGGCATTGCCTTGGACAAGACAAACGAGGATCTGTTTCGCCGCGACATTGGCTCCCGTCAACTGAGAGGGCACTTGCATGAGCATGATGCTGGTGGGATGCCTACCTTGCTCCGCGAGAAGGGCGCCAGTTCTTCTCCAGATGTCAGCCTGGGCGCCCTCGGGTCTACGAAAAATCTCGGCATGCCAACCGCGCGCCAATTCGGCGCAGTCGGCAACGTAGATTGCAACGCCGCATGAGAGACGGAGCGCCCATGGTAAAGCTCGCAGGTCGCCCTTCGGGACGCTGTGAGAGGGCCCCGCGAGAGGGCCCATCGTGTGAGGTCGGTCCAAGGGTTCAGAGGGGTAAACGAGGCAAACGTCGCGATGGCTAAACCTACGCGGCGAAGCCGAGGGTCGTGGGTGTCCTGGCTTCCCGAGGCGCCCCCGAAGACCGCCAGAGCATTATGAGAGGTGCCTGCCTCGATGCCTCCGGGCTCCAGAGCTCCCAGGCAAGTCTCATCCTTCGAGGGCGGGGGGATTTGGGCCCGCGGAGCTGGGATCAACCCCCGCGTCCGAAAACGTGGAAACGCCTCGGATTCGGACGCGGCCTGGCGCAAGAGGTCGCTAGATTCAGAGTACGCGTGAGCATCGACATTCTTGGAACATGTCCAGCACCGATGCAGCGCTGTCTCTTTCTCCGCCACGCCGCAACGGTAACGCGCGTCGCTGCCGCAAAGTCTCGTCTGCTGAATGCGTTCGTTGGCCCAGTGCCCGCCAGTTGCCAGCGACGCAAGAAGTTCTGATTGCTGACGTCCCTTGCGAGCTTGCAACGCATCCGCCACCATGCTTCTGGGGGACGCCATGTCTGTGCCAAACTCCAACCCAGCGCCGCCCAAACACAGGCTAGATGCATCTTTCCACTGTCTGAGTTCGAACGCCATCTGAAGTTCGTCCAAGGGAGAGATAGCCCGATCCAGCGCCTGAACATCGTTGCCTTGTAACTGCCAGGCGTTGATGTCCGAGGTGCCGCCATTCGGAACGTGCCAATCTGTCGGAGAATTGGGAGTCCACCCAGCCTCGAGTAAGTGCAGTATCACCGTCGTCGTGGACCCGCGAACGTGGCGGGCTCGCAGCCCTTCAGGCAGTCTGCTGAGATGGGGAACTGCCGAGGTCCACGCTTTCTCGATGGACCGTCGTAGCCGAACCTCGGACAGCCAGACCGCTAGCCATTATGAGACACATTGCCGAGGGAGAAGATGCCCTGGGTCACGCCCAGGGAGCCGAAGTGAAAGCAATGTAGTGAGACACCGCCCACGTTTCGATGATCTTGCAGCCGCCGCTCTCAAACGTCGCCGGTGCGTCAACGTCGCCGACCCGAATTGACCGTGCACATGATGCCCGTAATTTGCCGCAGCTTTTGGGCCTATTCTTGGCAGACGCCTGCCATCGGCGAGCTGCCCGAGCGAAGCGCCGCAGTCTCGCATGGGCCCTCCCTGCCTGGAGGCCCCGCTGCCTGACCGTGATGCTCACCACCCACCAAACCACCCCAACCCAACCCGAAGGCTCAGATTTGCCCTCCATTTCCAGTTGGGGGGGGTCGGGGAACATCGAGAAAACACGTATGGAACCCGTACCCCCCCCACCCGAAATTCGGGTCTTCGGGTTGGGTTGGGGTGGTCTGGTAGGTGGTCAGATGCGTCCGCGCCGTCGCCCGCCGCTCAGGTCCGCGCCCGGGTGCGCCGACTGCAGCGCCGCTCGCGTGCCCCTTGCGCTTCTGGGCGCGCGCGGCGGCCGCCGCGTCGGCGCGGTAGGAGCACGTGAGGACGCTCTTCTCGTCAACGCCCAGATGTCAAGGGCATAAAAAACGGAGGGGAGGGGATTGTGGAGTATGCGGTCTGCCAACCGAAACGTGAGGGAGGAAGGAGGAGGAGGAGGAGGAAGAGGAGGACGGATCTCTGCATGATGGATGACGTTTGCAATTTGATTCCTTTTTGTGCGGCGATTTACAATTAAATTCCTTTTGTGGGCTGACAGGGTAAACCCTGCGTGATGTGCCGCGTCCTGGCGGCTCTAGGCTTTGGGGGTTCCCAGGAGGTTTACAGACCACGCACTTGTAACCCAGGGTAGGGCCGTTTTTTCATCCCTCAAAAATGGACCTTTGAATTCTGCCGTTGTAGACGCTATGCCGCGAATCAAAGACATGCGAACGTGCCGTCTGGGCCCTGCCGCTTTCTGCGAGAGGTCGTCGATCCAGATCCGCTGTCGAAGGGAGCTGTGCTCCTTGCAGAGGCTGCGGCACACTCAGGCTGTGATGCACTTGGCGAGCCTCGCGCCGTTCCTGATGCCCTGCGCCGTCGAGCGCGTCGCATGGAAAGGCTCGGAGACGGGCCCGAGCTGCGGTTGAAACCTTCAAAGACGCGATGTCGACGAGAGCGTGGCCACGCGGAAGATGAAATCGCGACTGCACCTTGTCCTTCAAGGCGCGGGCGAATGCGCCCCTGAGGGCACTGTTGCCCGCGATGGCCGCATCCCACTGGTCCACTGCCACCGATTCAAACGAAAACTTTTTCAACTGCACTTCCGCGCCCCAAGCTGCTCCAGGATTCGAGGAGCGAGCCAGAGCTGGAGCTCCAACAAAAAGAATAGCTGGTGGGAACCCTTTCGCCAGTACGCATTCAGCAAGGGGCCCCTATTCGATTGAAACCTTCAAAGGCTCGATGTCGACAGGAGCGTAGCCATGTGGAAGATGAAGTCGCGACGGCAACTCATCTTGCAGGGCGCGGACAATTGCCTCCCTATGGGCATTGTTGCCCGCGATTGCCGCATCCCAGTGGTCCACCTCCGCCTGCTCAAACGACAACTCTTTCATCTGCACTTCCCGCGCCATGGTTCGCACCCGATGCAGCATGGCGCCAATCCCGATGACTCGACCCCTGCCAGCTCTCCTGCCCAGAAGCCTGCCCGCGACGAGCACCGACTGCCGGGGCCATGAAAGACAATTCCTCGATCATCGTGAAAAGGTTGCGCAACCTCTGGATGCCCTCGTCTGGCCAACGTGGAAACCCAGTTGGTGGACGTCGATCCATGCCCAGGCCAGCCCGAGCTTTCGTGCGGGACGGGGCTTGCTGCTCGACTTCTGCACGGGTCCGAATGCATGCACAAGTTGCCACAACAGTCCCACGAAGCAGCATTCGATCTCCACAGTGATTGATAACGCTCGGCTTTGCGATCCGCAATGTCCTCTCGATGCACCAGGACTGCCTGTCCCGCATCACGGTCGTGCAACTCGTCCCTTTCGGGATCCGCATCCTCGGTGCTTCTGTGAACGGACCCTCTGAGCCTCGATAGATTTTAGCCGCTGCTGGAAGGAAATTTCTGAGGGAGCTTGAAGGAGGAGTGAAGGAGGAGGAGGAGGAGGAGGAGGAGGAGGACGAGGAGGAGGAGGAGGAGGAGGAGGAGGAGGTTGCTGCTTGCCAGGCCATGGCCCTCCGCCCCCCGCAG